TAGTTTTTTCCCCCACCCAAACCCAAAGGGGGGGGGGGGGGGGGGGGAGTGCTGAGTTGATGTAGAGCGCCGCGCAGAGACAAAGGGGACGAATGATTACCTGAGTCAGCGGTCCAAAGGGCTGATCACTAACAACGAGCTCGCGGAGCTTGGCGTGCGCAAATGGGATGCGAATGAGCTTTTGCCCATCCCATTGGCCCTTGTCTACGTCGCCGTTGGCGTAGGTGAGAGCACCCGGACCGTGCCGGCGATCCGCCTCAAAGTAACCATCAAACCTAAACAAGGAAAGGAGACGGGGGATGTGATGTGATAGGACGGGCGATTGGTGATCGGACAGCCACGGGCAGCATGACCAGCATCAGGCACGCACGAGGCGCCACTAGGGGCTGTGAAGAGACCATGGCCGTGACGTTTGCCTTCGTGAAAGCTGCCACGGTAAAGCCGACTAAGAAACAGTGGGGCAGACAGTGTATGAGCAAAGATCTAGGTGCGGTGGGGTGAATTTGTGGGGCAAGGTGGCGCCATCTATGACACGGGGCCTAAGGACAGCGTACCCATCGGGCCAGCCATATTCGCCCTTGCCATGGCGCACGTCGTTCTCGTAGCCACCTTTGTACCACTCGCCGTCGGGCCAGTGCATTTCACCTGAATCAAGAGCAGGCATGAGACAAGTCGGCAAACACGAGACAAAGGGAGTCCCTCCGACTTGCGCAGCCAGGCAACGACCCAGACCTTGGCCATGTCGTTTGCCGTTGAGAAATTTGCCTTTGTATTCTGAGCCATCTTCATAGCGGACCTGTCCGTGGCCATTCAACTGGCTGGCCGTGAACTTGCCCTCAACTTGACGGCCATTCAAGTGTCTAACGTGTGAAGAGGCACGGGCGGGCATCGATGCTGTGAGGGACACAACACAAACGGAAGGCAAAGGCCCAAAGTCCGAGGGCAGGTGACTTTCGTACTCTTCAGCTGCAGGGCCTTGGAGTAAGCCCTCCTGGAAGTGACCCGACTGCTGAAATTGACCTGGAAAACAAGCAGAGGCAATCAAAACACCGCCAGGCCCAGCGCAGCGGTCAGCACAAAAGGGAGGGCAAGGTGCACGGTCTGCCGATGCTGCGTGGTGGACATCAGATCGTACCGGCAATATGTTGAACGCCGTAGCCATGGCGAAAGTCCTGGCGGAAGGTGCCCCGGTACTCACAGCCCGGCAAGAGCTCAAAGTTGCCTTGACCTGGAAGCAGAACAGGTCCATGTGCAGCATGTGGCGCGTGAGGCGATGGGAGGGAAGGAGTGCTGCCGAAGTATCTTTGAGGCAGGGATTTAAGCGATGAAAGGGATGATGGGAATAGCAACGGACCGTGACGCAGTCCTTTTTGCAGAGTTCCCCGATAGCTGGAGGCGGATATGGGTCGCTGTGGCCAATCGACGGCACCGGTGCCGTCGGGATGACCCTGCAAGGTAGATCCGCTGTAGATGCCACCCAGCAGGCTTGCCGACTGCACCCGAGACTCCATGGTCCCGGCAAACACTTTGAAGACGAAGCAGACGGAGGAGAGGAGGAGGAAGAAGACGTGGAGCGCGTGGCGGAGGCTGGTCAGCAGCCAACAGAGCGAACAGAGGAATGGCAGGCCAAGCCAGGGGGTATCGCGCGTCCAGAGCAATTCGCTGCAGAGAGCGCATGCACTATAGCAAGCGTAGCCTGCCTGTGCGACCCGAACGACTGCTCAACCCCCAAGGTGCTACACACACCAGCAAGGGGGCCAACTGACACAAGCAGCAGCAGCAACAGCACGCCACGACAAGGGGGCGGTCGTGGTCGTCGTGGTCGGCTGCAGATCCTCCAGCGCACACACAACAGCGCGCGCTGCGTGTGTGTGTGCTTTTGCGTCTCGTCGTCAAGCGCACGGGAAAAGCAGAAGTAAAATACATTTATACATCGATCTGACAATCCAGTCAACCAAGTGTTTTTATCTGACAAATGACCTATCGACAGTGGGTGGTCACTATCATTTAAGACTGATTTTTCATGTGTGAAATAATAGAGATATTTCTCGGTTGTCTCTCTCTCTCTCTCTCTCTGTCTCTCTCTCTCTCTCTCTCTCTCTCTGTCTCTCTCTCTCTCTCTCTCTCTCTCTCTCTCTCTCTCTCTCTCTCTCTCTTTCTTTCGTTTTGTCTCACTTTGTGTGACCAAACACATCACATGAGCTCCACAATGCATCAAGCCCGTGTGCCTGACAACCACAACAGTAGAGGTGTGAGATGTCCGTCTACCACGTATAGCCACCGCAAAGCAATTTCCCTTCCGCAAATCACCTACACGTGTGATAAACTCGACCTTCACGTGTGGTAAGCGGTGTGGAAGGGAATTGTGTAATGAGTGTGTGTGTTGTAATTTCTTCGTCTCGAGTGTGTAAGTTGTTTGCTGCCGCGCGCCACTGGCTTGAAACGCTGCGATGCGATGAACAAATGGCAGCGCCGTTGTGGCGCGGTCAAGTGGCTTTTTGGACCAGTGGGGACAAGCGGTGTGATGCGTGTTCTGGGTAGATGTCGTGGCAGCCATCTTGGTGTCGTTTCTTGCGTGCTTTTTGTTGTTTGCCTTGCGTTCTTCATGTGGCCATCAGATGCATGGCAGTGCTTTGGGCCATGGGCACGCGCCATCATGACCCGTGGTGTATCAAAGCTCGAGAGCGGATTCGTGCAAGAGCCACGGCCCCTTTGGCCTCGCTGGCAGCGGGCTGACTTTGCGGTTCAACCTGCATTGATGCATAAGCCATGGTGTCGATGACCGATGAACTTGCATGCGTCTTTCTTCTTCTTGTCCTTCTTACCCTCTTCTTATCTTCTCTCCTCGTCTTACTTCTTCTCTCGGCGTGTCTCGCACACTTATCTTGCTTCTCTCGATGCCCGTAGGTTCACTCCATTCAACCGAGCACCATTCTCCGCCGTCTTTGTTCAACACTCTCCACCATGGTACGCCACGGCCCGTCCGCCTGCACGCAGCCCATGATCGCCATCTGCAGTCACGCCAGCAGCAGGCCAGACCGATCTTACCTGTGCTCACGCGCTGACCTCGGCTGGCTGCCCGCGCCTTGTCATTGTGTAGTCTTTTCCCGTGACTCGCATCCATGCCCGCCAGATCTTCGACTCGCGTGGCAACCCCACGGTTGAGGTCGATCTGACCACGGCCAAGGGCACCTTCCGCGCTGCCGTCCCCTCGGGCGCCTCCACCGGCATCTACGAGGCCCTGGAGATGCGCGATGGTGATGACAAGTACCACGGCAAGGGTGTCAGCAAGGCCATTGAAAACATCAACAACATCCTGGCCCCCGCCATTGTTGAGAAGCAGCTGGACCCCGCGGACCAGGCCGCTTTTGACAAGTTTATGCTCGAGCTGGACGGCACGGACAACAAGACCAAGCTTGGCGCCAACGCCATCCTCGGCATTTCCATGGCCGCCTGCAAGGCTGCGGCGGCGGCCAAGGGCATGCCCCTCTACCGCCACATTGCCGAGCTCTCGGGCCACGCCGCCGCCACCAAGCTCGTTCTCCCCGTCCCTTGCTTCAACGTCATCAACGGTGGCTCCCACGCTGGCAACCGCCTGGCCATGCAGGAGTTTATGATCCTGCCCACCGGTGCCACCAGCTTCAGCGAGGCCATGCGCATGGGCTCGGAGACGTACCACCACCTCAAGAAGGTCATCAAGGCCAAGTACGGCCTCGATGCCTGCAACGTCGGTGACGAAGGTGGTTTTGCCCCCAACATTCAGGACAACAAGGAGGGTCTGGACCTCCTCGTTGCCGCCATTGAGAAGGCTGGCTACACGGGCAAGATCAAGATTGCCATGGACTGTGCCGCCTCGGAGTTTTGCAAGGATGGCAAGTATGACCTCGACTTTAAGAATGCCGAGTCCAAGCCCGAGGACCACATCACCAGCGAGCAGCTCACTGACCTGTACAAGTCGTTCCTCGCCGACTACCCCGTCGTGTCCATTGAAGACTCGCACGACCAGGATGACTGGGAAGGCTGGGCCTCGCTCACCGGCAGCGTCGACATTCAGATTGTGGGTGATGATCTCACCGTCACCAACCCCAAGCGCATCCAAAAGGCCATTGAGCAGAAGAGCTGCAGTGCCCTGCTCCTCAAGGTCAACCAGATTGGCTCCATCACCGAGGCCATCGAGGCCTGCAAGCTCTCCCAGGGTGCTGACTGGGGCGTCATGGTCAGCCACCGCTCTGGTGAGACCGAGGACACCTTCATCGCTGACCTCGTCGTCGGCCTTGGCACTGGCCAGATCAAGACCGGTGCCCCTTGCCGCTCCGAACGTCTGGCCAAGTACAACCAGCTGCTCCGTATCGAGGAGGAGCTCGGCGAGAACGCCATCTACGCAGGTGACAACTTCCGCCACGGTGTCAAGCTTGTCCAGTAAATGTCTTTTTTTTACAGTCCTCTCCCCAATCCCGTATGCTCGTGCAGCGCCGTGCGTCCGCGCCAGCCTCCTTTTTTTTTTTCCCTTTTTTTGATGTCTTTCCATCAAAATTGATTTTGAGAAGAAAAACAAACAAAAGAAATTGCAGATGTCAGACACGCTGACATTGAAAGAATCTGTCTGACAATGATTTGAATCAGATCTCCCGCGCAAATTCAAACTTCAATTTTGGTCCGGCAGATTTTTCCCGCCATTTTTCTGTCGCCCGCGGTTCAGGTCAGTCAAATGCCGCAACAACCTGTTTGTTGTGAATGTGTGGACAGGGCTGGGCAGCACTGCTGATCGGTACTTCGTCAGTCCCTCCAGACGTGCATTCAACTCGAATGCATTTTCCCACCGTCTCAAGACCCGGTGTCTCCTGCGTTTTTCCCATCCACAGTTGCAGGCATCAGAACGACGCTGCCTTTGCTGCCAATAATCAGAGGCCTCGGCCAAGCCCTCGTGCGGTCCGTCGAAGCGCGGCCTGCCTTTCGTCGCTACCTACATACTACCCCAACTGCCACCATGGCCAAGGTCGGTCCCCATCTGCCCGGCTGCTATTTTGCGGGCCACCACAACACGCGCCCCACCCAAGCTCATCGCACATGCCCGCCTGTCACAGGTTCTGGGCCAGCAGAATGCGGGTGCTGCCCCAGCGGGCAAAGCCAAGGATGCCTCGGAAGAGTACAAAAAGCTCACCCAGCTTGAACACATTCTTCTCCGTCCGGATACGTACATTGGCTCCACCGAGAGCACCAGTACCGACATGCTCGTCTTTGATGCTGATCGCGGATTCGCCACCCGCAACATTTCCTACGTTCCAGGCCTCTTCAAAATCTTTGATGAAATCATCGGTACGCACCCTGCCAACGCACAAAACAATGGCAATGCAGCCAACCTCTTCTGGCTTGCGCGTGCTGGCGTTCAGCTCATCCGGCCGTGTTCATCGTAGTCAACGCCGCCGACAACAAGGTGCGCGACCCCAGCATGGACGCCTTGCAAGTCACCATCAACAGGTACGCGTTGAACTTGGTTCCAAATGCAAACAGCATTTGCTACTACCTTGTTTGGCCCAACGTTTGACTTGCATCGCTCACGGCCGTTGCGCACTTTCTTCAGTGACACCAACGAGATTAGCATTTACAACACGGGCCGCGGAATTCCCGTTGAGAAGCATCGCGAGTACAACGTGTACATTCCTGAAATGCTCTTTGGCCATCTTCTCACCGGCTCCAACTTCAACGACAAGGAAGACAAGGTTGATGAGCTTTTCTTGTGTATTTCCGGCCAGCTCCTGCCGAGGGACACCGTCCTCCCTACCGGCAGCCTCACCGACCCTGCCCGTCTTGCCATAGACCACCGGTGGTCGCAACGGCTATGGTGCCAAACTTTGCAACATCTTCAGCACCAAGTTTGTCATTGAAACATGTGATACACAACGTGGCCTCAAGTACAAACAGGTCTTCCGCAACAACATGGGTGTCAAGGAAGAACCCATCGTTTCCAAGACCACGGTTCGTCCCTCAGTCAACCCTCGGTCAAGCCTCACCACCTCGGCCGCACTTACACACTGCCTGGCCGGTTTTGGCTTCTTGTTTCTCCTTGCAGAAGTCAGACAAGGACTACACCCGTGTGACCTTCCGCCCCGATCTCTCGCGCTTCGGCTTGGACGTGCTCGATCAGGATCATGTGGCCCTGCTTACCCGTCGTGTCTGGGACGTTGCCGCTACCACCAACAACGTCAAGGTCTCTCTCAACGGCGAGCGCATCCCGGTGCGCAAGTTCAAGGACTACGTCGACCGTGTCCTCAACGACCAGTCAGTTCAATCCGTCCATTCCATTTAGCATGCCAAGCCCCAACTCAATCTCATGACTGTTGTCATTACAGGGGCGTCACCTCGAAGGTGGTCCATGAAAAGGTCAACGACCGCTGGGAAATTGCCTTTACTACCAGTGACACGGGCTTCCAACAGGTGTGTCCTTGTGCTTGCCCTGCGTTCCTCTCACTCCCTGTGCTGCCTCCTATGCTGCTGGGCCCCAACGGTTTTT